AGAGAGGGAGAAAGTGAGAAAGCAAGCCACTAGGTTCAGGACTTAAACCACGGTCAGCCATGTGAGAGTCCAGCACCCTAACCACTACATCACCTGCCAGTCCCTCCCACTATATTTTTTTAAATCTAATAGATCAAAAGTCTTGCTGATCTTATATATCCTTGTATTCCCAGGCCTGCCATTGTGTCTGCTGAATAATAATAATATTACCTAACATGGATTGGGCAATATAGTGCCTCTCTTCTAAATTTTTAAAAATTATTTATTATAATTATTATTATTATTATTAAGTTTTCTATAGGGCACAAGTGCTCAGCAGGGAGGGGAGAGAAAGTAAGAAAGCAAGGCACTAGGTCCAGAACTCGAACCACAGTTGGCCTGTGGGAGCCCAGTGCCTCAACCACCATGCCACCTGCTGGCCTCTCTTCTAAATTTTATATGCATTATCTCATTTGATCCATAAAACAACCCTATGAGGTTGGCTTCATTATTCCTATACTCATTTAGCAAGTTAAGCATGGAAACACTGAGAGGATGAGAACCTTCCCCTCAGGCTGAGGGAGTAAATGTTGGAGTTGGGATTTTGAACACAGGCATTGCGGCTGGACAGTCCATATGCATCCTGCTAAACCATGCTTCTAGGTCTCCCGCCTCCCCCATAAGTGACCTCAAGGAGAAAATTTTAATTAAATGTAAATGCTCCCTAGTGAGAAACATTAAATACCAAGGAGTAAGACTTCGCTAGGTAGAGTTACGCTTTAGAGGGATTTCCTCTCCCAAGATCCAATTTTTGCCCTCTTGGGGGCAATGTCATTCATTGAGAATGTACTTTAGAGACCTTTCACTATACATTTTCATTATGTCCCATATGGTTGTGCCTAAAAACACATGGTCTTGTTTTATGATTTTAATGATGTCTTCCTGTAAGTCTTATTCTGCATCTTGCTTTCTTTTTCCTCCATAAGATATCATGGGATGATATAGCTGTATTGATAGTCTCATTTTTAAACTGCTGCATGTTATTTCAATCATATCCACATTCCTGAATTTATTAAGTCCTTCTTCTGTTAGATATCCAGAATGTTTTGTGCTTCTTAGTCTTCAACAACTGCCTCGACGAATATCTTTATGCAGTCCTCCTTAGGCTCAGGGAGTGTTAGATGTAGATACCAAGACAGGAACAAAGGATGTGCAAAGGTATATCATTTTAATAGATACTGTCAAATCACACCCTAGGTTGGGTGTACCAACTTACCTTCCCACAGAGAATTCACGAGAGTACGCGTTTCCCTAAGTATTTACATTAAATATGACCTCTGTCTATCTTGGGAGATGTCAAACATTTGAATTAAATGAGTCACTTAAAAGTATTTTGATTACTCACCAGCTGATAGCAGCTTGTGTAAGAGGGAAGATGGGTAGCTAAGATGCTGCTGTGGGAAATGCCGACAAGTAGTAACAGCAACACCAGAATCCTGAAATGTCTTACCCAGAAATCCTCAACTGGGGCCTAACTCACTTCATAAAAGGTTAAGAACAATCATCACCTGGAAACAGGTACAGTTCGCTTCACAATGTGACAGGTACTCAATCTCTTTACCTATTTTCCAAGTATCTCAGGCACACATGAACACATCTCACACACACACACACACACTATTGAGAGTAATGGGAGCCAACAGGTGATGTGGTAGTTAAAGGTGCTGGACTGTCATCTAGCCAATCGCGCTTAGAGTCCTGGACATGGAGACCCGGAACTCATACCAGGCACGTGTGCATGTGTGTCCCAAATCCCAGGAGGAAAATGGAGGAGAAGGAATTATAGCGTGGTCATCCACCTTGGGGAATGATTTCTCACTTTCCCTCTCTCTCTCTCTCTGTCACCAACGAGTGCACGTGCCTTATGGCAAAAACCTAAAAACTAAATATACGTAGAGAGAGACTAAAGGAAACCAAACACTCAAAGTAAATGAAGTGCTGAAAAGGCAATCCCTATAAGAGAAAGAAAATCCACTTGATGGAGGAAACACTGAATATCCTAGAAAATACTAAAAACTTTAAAGAACAGCAAGAACTTTATTCATATGATAAAATCCTAGTCTTTTAGAGAGGAGAAAAAAAGGATTTACAGTACATTTAGTAAAAATGCCATTTTCTTCCTCTTTTTTTCTCTCCCTTTCCCATAAGCAGACATTCCCCACTTAAAAAAATGCATAGTTACAAAATTTAATTGCCTACAAAATTATAACAAAAAAAGTGTGGAATGACATTCTGTATCATCAAAATTCAAGTTATAGTTAATATGGCTCTTTCTCAAAAGTATATCTTAGTGAGACCAGCAGTTAGCGTAATGGCTATGTCGCTGGATTCCCACGTAGTCGACCACGGTTCGCATCCCGGACCCGGTGGCTTAAAACTCACGCCGGGCATGTGTGCGTGCGTGCCCAAGATCCTGAGAGGAGAATGGAGGAGAAGGGATTGTGGCATGGCCATCCCCCCTGGGGGGTGATTTCTCACTTTCTATCTCTCTGTCTCTCTCTGTCTTTCTGGCGAGCACACGTGCCCTATAGCAAAAACTTCTCCAAAAAAAGAAAAAAAAAGTATATCTTAGTCTTCAACCTTGGCCTAAAAATGACTGTCCTGCTGGGACCAGCAGGTGGGAGTGGTCAAGACAACTGGATCCCACACGGCCAGCTGAGCAGTTCAGGTCCTGAACCTAGCAGCTTAAACACACCAGGCTCATTTAAGTTTTTGTCCAGTTGGAAGAAAGGGGACTGTGGTGTGGCCAGCTCCCTGAGAGGTGCTTCTTCCCTCTCTCTCTGTCTCCATCTCTAGCAAGCACACACAATTTGTAGCAAGCAAGCAAGCAAGCAAGCAAGCAAGAAAGAAAGAAAGAAGAAAAAAAGAAAAAGAAAAAGAAAAAGAAAAAAAAAGAACAAGAGAAAAAAAAAAAGACTGTCATGAGCTGGGAGGCCACACTCTAGAAAGAGAAGAGCACCCAGGAAACCACACTTGTTGAGCACCTACTATGTGCTTTACACATGTTCTGTAACTTAATCCATGTCACCATCAGCTGAGGTATATGAGAGGAAACTGAAGCTGAGAGAGGTTAATAGTACTGAAGCTCTTCGTCCAGCAATCAGAGGAGCAGGGACGTGAACTGAGGCCTGATGACTCCAAAGTCTGACTGCCATCCTCCCTGCCGCCTGCTGACACTGACAGAGTCCAGTGACTGCTCAGACAGTTAGGGTTGTAAAATAACCTGAACACAGACAAGTTCCTGGCGTATTACTACTTCCCACTAGACAGAGGAAGTAACTCCTTCGACTGCTGTTTATAAGTTTCTGGAACTGCATTTTGTTTTCAAAGTTCCTGGAATAAGATCAAGGCAAAATAACACTTATAGGAGGAAGACAGCATTCAGAAAACTTGTTATAATGTAAGATCCATTTTGAGATATCCCATTAAACCCAAAAAAGGCCAAGACAGGGGTAGCTACAGAATTTACAGCTTTTACAGCTGATTTTTCCTGGCTTGGAGTCTGATGCCTACAGTAACAATCAGGCATCCTTAACACTGAAAGTCAAGGCCCACGCTGAACAAAGGCCAGTTCACTAAAATCACTTGTTCATTGTTCCATCTGCTTCCCGAACTAAATGGCACCTCACCCACAAAAGCACCATTGTCCAAACACCCGCCAAATGATCATGAAAAATGTATATGATCTCAGAGACAAACACACTTTCTGAAACGATTTAAATATTTGACAAAATTCTGATGAGTCAAAATCTATGCTAATCATAACCACTTACCTGGGGCTGTGAAATTACAGGGGTGGAAACAGAGGCAGAGGCCATGATGGCACCGGAGATGTGGGCGGCAATCAGGCCCAGCACCACAGTGCAGGACACAGGGGTCAAATGCTCTTGCTTGCTGATCAGACAGAGGTCATGCTAGGAGATATTGTGTACCTGGAAAAAGACAGGAAATCGCACAGTCAGCATGAGCGGACTAACATGAGAATAAAGTACCATTGGCCAGAGGAAGCAAAAATCCCTTATAACAAGTGCCAAACACTGGCTTCATGTAAACAGAAATCGGGAAGGTAAGACTTAATGTGTAAAAGACATGACTTGTGGACCATTCATCCAAAGGAGATTATGTTGACGTATTTTCATAAATTTAAATCCAGCTCTGTGTGCCAGCTAGATATTTGAGGGAGACAGTTCGAAGCTGTAGAGATGAGAATAGTGGGCCAGGGAAGAAGCCATGCTGTCATAGTAAAGGATTTGAATGATCTGCAGGGAGAGCTCACTGTTTATGTGCAAAGGACAAAGAGAACATTGCCATCAAATGCCTAGAGATCAACCATTCAGTCATGCCTCTTTGCAGATAAAAAAAAAACAGGTGCAGAGAAGAGAAGAGACTAGGTCACACGTTTAGTAAATGGCAGAACAAGGACTAGAGCAATGACCGCAACTCCCAGCCCGGTATGAAACATAAAGTGAATATGTTTCCATGTTTACATTTCCCGAAGGAACTTAAAGTCTAGACACCCCAAAATGATGGGAGTCAGTTATGAGAATAAGTCAGGTACTTGGATAGGTGAGTAGGAGGGCTTCATAAAATAAATCAGACTTCCACATATGTAAGAAACAGTGCATTTCTAAAATCCTTTCGACATCCTTGGAGAAAAGATGCTAAATAAGCACAAAGTATAATCAAATCTTCTCTTATTAATGCAAGGTCAAATGGAATTAAAGTACAAGTTTATCTTGGTGCAAAAACTATTAAAACCTATTAAGTTTTTTTACAATATACATTTCTCATGAAACATATGGCATGTTAAACAAAATGTAGGCTACCAATATCTATTCTTAAATACTTGTACCATACACTCAGGTCCAACATCAATCGGCCAAGATAAGTCATTAAGCAAAATAACCTTAAAATATTTTCAGTATTCAGAGTAAAGAAAGTTGCCCAGAAGGGGAATATAAGCACCTTGCTTGTAGTAAGGAAAACAATATAAAAATGGATGTGACACACAAGACCTGTTCACATGGTACCATTGTTGACCACAGAAGAAGAGATATAGGGACCAGGAGTTAATGAAAGCATACTGGATGTCAATCTTTGGAACCGCTACTTTATGTAAAGTTTGAGGCAGAAATTATTAGCTCATTTCATAGAAGAGATACCTAAAGCTTTTTTTTATTTCTTGAGAGATTTTTGCTATCAGGCACATGTGCTCGCCAGAGATAGAAACAGAGAGCCAGAAAGTGAGAAATCACCTCCTTCCCCAGTAGGGATGTCCACACCATAATTCCTTCTCCTCCATTCTCTTCTTGGGATCTTGGGCATGCAGGCACAGGTGCCCAGCATGATTTTGAATCGGGTCTGAGACTTGAACAGTGATTGATTACGTGGGAGTCCAGCAATGTAACTATTCTGCCATCTGCTGGTCCCAACACCTGAAGCTTTGAAAGGTTACACAACATCCCACAGTCACACAATAAGGATATAAAAAAGCTGAAATTTAAAGCTCATACTCTTTCCACAGATCAACCTTCCCAGTAATGAAGAATTGAGAAGAGATGAAGTGTGCGTGCAGTCTTTAAACGAAAATATCAGTCCAGAAGAAAGCAGGATGAAGGTCAGGTGACCTGCAGAGTGACCCTGAGACAAAGAACCCTGGGCTGCTCTCATCTATATAAAGCTTCAATAATGTGTTCCTCCTTTTATGTTTCATATCTTCAAGTCGCCTAATAAATAAAGCAGATTACTACTTTCATATCTTCAAGAAGAAAAATAAGACAGGAAATTAATGCCTTGCCGAGAGTATCCAAGGCATATCTAGCTTTGAGACTCTGTAGGACCTATTGACACATTACAAGAACCCCTCATAAAATAACCTATGGTTACTTAACTCTGCCAAATGCAATGCTAACCATTACTCCAAAGGTATAGATCAGCTCTTTCTTGGGAGAGATGTCTTAAAATTATACCTATGAAATCTATTTACTTTCCAACTTATTTACAAAACTGCATAAGTAAGTCATAGGAATACTAGAAAACATGACCAAAAAGACAATAGCCTAAGTAATAACATTATTCACTGAGTTTCCAACCAAGTAAGCTGGTTGACTTTAACATACTCCTTGCCTTACTAGAGCCAGAAAATGACAACTATAATTTTGCACAGGAGTTTTTAAGAAATACACCCTGTCTGATCTCTTCTAGGTACTTGGATACCTGTTTGGCAGTTCTTCCAACCTGACATCAACCTAACTCTATTTCCTTCTCTTGAGTTCTCAAACTGTGTCCCAGCCATAGAAAACTACAAAGCTCTGTAGGACCAGCAGTTAGCATAATGGCTATGTCGCTGGATTCCCATGTAGTCGACCATGGTTCATGTCCCGGACCCGATGGCTTAAAACTCACACCGGGCGCGTGTGCGTGCATGCCCAAGATCCCAAGAGGAGAATGGAGGAGAAGGGATTGTGGCGTGGCCATCCTCCCTGGGGGGTGATTTCTCGCTTTCTGTCTCTCTGTCTCTCTCTGTCTGTCTGGCAAGCGCACGTGCCCTATAGCAAAAACCTCTCAAAAAAAAAAAAAATCTACAAAGCTCTATAGGTTTGCCCCACTAACATTAGGCTCTCCAATGTCCTTAGGCCAATGGAGCAAGTAATCTCTGGCAGCATTTATGCTGGATTTACATGTGACAATGATGACTGTCCTAGAAAATGTGTGAGAAAAAAAAAAAAAAAAAAAACACTAGGAGTTGGCTTCTGAGGAGGATGGTCATGCCAAGAGACAATGACCTTGCTAATTACTGAGGGCCACACCTAAATACCTAAAAGAATGTCTCTGGATTAAGGCAAACTTTCCTTTGGTTACTTGTAGGACTGATGCTGGCTCCCTCCCCAGGCCTCACAGGAAGATGAATTCCTAATCAGTAAACTGATCTACTACAAACCTAACCTTTTTCCTTCATCTGGACTGCAGTCAAGCACTGACTCACATAAGTCTCTTAAGAGAACACAGGGCAATTCCCAATACTGAATTACATAGGCTTTCCTCTCTAGGGTAAGGGATAGAGAAAAACCCAAATTCACCAGACAAATGAGATATTATGGTTCAAAACAAGAGAAAGCTGTAGAATTATAGCAAATATTTACTTAAGAAATAAGTGTTCTACATAAAAGAAAACTTCAGAGAATTTCTAGTTCACATTCTTGAAATTTGGGAGGATCCAGTAACACCTTTGAACACAGAGAAGGTAGTTATGAAAAGAAATAAGATCAGAAAAGAATTTGCATTAACAAAAAAGAAAAAGAAAATTTGGATTATGAACTTGAATTAAGGCAGTCAATAAAGCAGGAAGCATAAAATCAAATAAAAATAATAAAATTAGTGGGGTTAGAAAATGGTGCATTTGCGACACTCTGCAATGCTGATGCACATGGAATGGTTCTGAGTTTGTATCCAGAGACCTTCCTGAGTGCATGAAACATGCCTATGTCCATGATCAGGGCTGGCTGAAGCTGGGAATAGATTGTGGCACCATGACCTCGTTGAAGGTTGTGCTCTTTCTCTCCTTGTCTCATTCACGAATGGAAGAAAAAATTAAACAAACTTTAAAACATAAAATAATAATAGTGAAGCAGAAAATAAGCTAGAGTTTCAGGTCATGGGGGCAGGGTGGGAAATAAAGAGAGAAAGATTTTAAAGATTCCATCCCCAAAACAGAACAGGTGAACAAAAAGTACTAAAAGAGAAAAAAAAAAAAAAAAAAGAAACCACCAAATTGAAATCAAGAAAGAATAAATTTATATTCAAATCTTTAGCAATGGATTAAACAGACAAATAACAATTCAGATAAAATGGAGGGAAAAAAAATCAATTCGAAATTTGTATATCATCTTGCAGAGAACTCTATAATCTGGTAGGAACCAAGTAGAAAAACTCTTGACTCCAAACCTGGAGGAACAGGAAGATAAGTATAGGAAGGCCAGAGTTTGTCTCTCTTAGCCTCTGTTCCCCCTACCAGTGCTAAATAACATCTGAAGACGGTCTTATGTCATATCTAAAGGCTAAGACTGGAAGAATTCTCTCTAAAACCTGAGCAAGTGAGAAGGCTTAACAATAATATCACCAAGAAGATATGGCACTCAATGAAACAAAAACAGGATGCTTAAAAACCGGTAATCTGGGGCCAACAGGTGGCCCAGTGGTTAAGATGCTGGATTCCCACGTGGCAACTGCAGTTCAAGTACTGGACCCAGTGGCTCAAAAATCACACTGGGTGGTATGTGTATTCCCAAAATCCCAGGAGACGGGGAGGAGAAAGGATTGCAGCATAGCCATCCCCCCTTGAAAGTGATTTCTCCCTTTCCCTCTCTCTGTCTCCGTCTCTCTCTGGTGAGTGCATGTGCCCTATGGCAAAAACTTTAAAAACAAACAAAAATCCTGATATTCAAAATTCAGTAGACAGTGGCACAGCAGTAAAAACACCATGCTCTGCAAGGCAATCCCCTGACAGAAACTTTTTCAAATATACTGGGCATACATGTGATCATAATATGGACTGGCTAAAGGCTGGGGTCGATCATGGCATCAGGACCCTGTTAGGGGTGATGTCTCTGTCTCTATCTCTTTCTCTTATTTATGGAAGAAATATACCTTAACTTTAAAAAATTCAATAGAAGGATCGGAATACAAATTTAAGAAACTTACCCAAAATGAAGAACAAAAATCAAAGTGAATAAAAATAGAACAGTTAAAAATGAGAAAGCTAAAAGATGTAGTCCTGAAGGTCTATCAGCCAAACAAAAGGAATTCCAAAATAAAGGAATAAAGAAAACTGAGAGTGTGTGAAATCAAATAACTTAGAATATTTCTTAAAATGAAAGGTTATATATTTGGAGACTAGAATAGCCCACCAAGTGCCTACCTGCCCTGCCCACCT